CAGTAGCGCAGCCGGCCGGTACTGCGGGGATTCTGCTGTGTTCATCAGTCACACTGACTCGGTGAACACACCAGCTCTCCGCACCCGTGCCTGACGGCGGCAGTCTACACGCCGATGGGTGTGACTAAGCGGGCACCCATCCAAGTACTAACCCAACTGAGCGTTGCTTAGCTTGGGTGATCGCCGGAGTCACACACTAGACGGTGAAATTTTTTCCCGGAAATGGCGAATTCTTGAAATAAATCGACAAATGAAAATATCGATATTTTCATTCCCGTTAAAATTGCATTTTCTTTTCAAACGTTCACAAAAAATTACTGATAAATTACTATTTTACTGCGGTGAATTGAGTTTATTTAACTGACAGTTAAAAAATCGGGAGTGCAACAAGTTTTACGATACGACACTGTAATTTTTGTCATATTTATAGCCAATTTTCTGGCATTCATATTAATTATTCCACAACCTACCTCTCAAATGAACCTATTACCCCATAAATACTAGGAATTTTTGCTCGACGTTGTTTTGACCATTAACAATTGTTGGATATTCCGTTAAATTTATGAAAATTGTAGTTAAATTTTATAGCAGAATAATTCCACGATAGTATTTGCCATTTAATTCTCCCCTGAATTCCGAAGCTGAAAGAGAAATCTAATGAACTCCTTCACTGAATTAAAAATCATACAGTTGAAAGATCAGACGATACTGTATAAAGCTCCATAAAATTTCAGACAAAAAATTTTCGAAAAAAGCCATAGATAAGGTTGTGATAAGTCAACGCATGTCGGTTGGCACAGACATGCGTGTCCAGTTTATTATAAATGGATTGACCCAGAGAAAACCTCTGAAGTGGCATAAATAATGCAACAAGAGATACTTCAACTTCCCCCTTATATAACACTTCACGACGCAGAATATTAAATAAATTGTTGCATTGACTTCATTCAAATGAAGAATTTTCCCTCCACGTCAATCACTATTCAATAACTCACGCGTTGTCTCAATTTTTTTTTTTCAAATACCTGTAAGTCATTGGAGTCATGCACGCGTCAATATTCCACTTTTATTATTATAAAAAGACAGCAGTTAAAGTTGTCACGCAACAAGTGTAAACTCCTCGACTATGTAGCGGATAATTACGGAAATTAATGAAAAAACTGCAAGTTTGTTGCATTAATGAAGAGCAAAAGCCACTGACATGTTTTATCGAGTTATAAAAACATTGAAACGCCGCATTAATGATGTCATACGCACTTTTTCTCGGTATTATTGATGAGCTTCGAGCGGTAAATTAATTCCGATAAACTTTGTTGCATTCATGAGCCGATGGGAAACCTCGATAATTTTTTAGTTCGAAGTACTTCACCTTCAATTGCGCTTCACCTTTTTTAATTTATTCTCCACTAATACAAGTGCGTACCTCTTCGAGTATCTATTAACAATTGCCGTATCTCCACCGAGAGATAATGAAAAATGTCGTTTACATGATAACAAATTTTTCATTTACAAGTTTCAGTTTAGTACATGGACGGAAATGATTCTCGGTAGTTGATTCAGTGCGTTTTCCGTTCAGCTTTTGCGATACGATGCAATCAGATTGATTTGGATAATTGTCGCCCGCGTAAATGTACATTTTCTCCGCTTCTTTATTTTTTCACGTATTTATCACCCTCTCTGGTGATAAATACAGACTGTTGCCTCTGCAGTTTGATGTTTCGAAGATAAATACAGCTCTTCCATGCGAATTAAACAATATAAAGTTGGAAAAAAATTCAACTGAGAATTGATGTAAAACTTTTCAACTGCTAATTAAACATTGTAGGGGAGTTCCAGACATTCGAGGATCAATCTTTGCTCGGAAAAAAAATTTCCAAGTTCCTTGTGCCTCTCTAAAATTCTTCAAATGTCCCGGGAGCAACTCGAGATTTTATTTTAATCATTTCACCATTCTCGGAATCATCCAGCGATCAATAATGTTGATAATCCGGGAAATGACGATTTTCTTCATTTTTCGGTTCGCTTTTGATAAATTTTTTTTATAACACCGTAAATATTAGAGGACATTATTATATTACATACTCAAAGAACGTGAAAAAGTCTTCAATCCAAGACGTCACTCAATACATTTTTTTTTTTATAAGGGTTACGCGGCATTAGATTCATCGATTGAACTACCCTACACGATTTACGGATTCAATTCTCCCTTCAACTTCCAAAAATATTCAATTAATTCTAAACTTCCCACAAAAATATTATAACTTCATCAATAATCCCCTGAATTACCGATTTACCGAAAATTCAATTATATCCCAAAAATATTCATTCAAAAATTTTCGCGCGGAACTTCTCTCCCACCCTGCAATTTCCCCAACAAATAATCAAGAATTCGCTACCTCTCATTAGATTTAACTCTGCGTAAGTTGATACTCATCTCCACGTGGTAGTACCTCCGGTTCTTAATTCTAAAATCCCGAGACGAGCTCTTTTTTTTTCCTCATCCTTCGTTTTCTTTTTTTTTTCCACCGCTCGTTATCATGGCAAATGGCTCGTTTTACTGACTCGTTATCTCGCCAGTGACCGAGAGAACTCGCCTCGATCCTTTCATTCCTCTCTCCCTCCCTTTCGCAATTTTTTCATCTTCAATGTATTCACCGAGAAATTATTTCCAACCGTGGAAAAATTGTATAAATCGAGTATCCGTTGGTGTCGGCACGTGCAGATCAATGTAATCACTCGGTGATTCCTTAACTTCTCTGGAGCACAAGTGCGTTGGAGATAAGCCTTCCGATGAAACCTGAGTCGCTGACGATTATTCTCGCGATAATTTATTATGTAAAAACCAGTCACACATTGTATGTCGGAGATAAGCGAGTGGTGAGTATCCCGCTGGCTTGTCAATTGTCAATGTCACTGACAGGTATCCGGGATAAGAGTCATTACCGATGTATTGATGGCATTCCAACATTTTCAATATTTTTCTACATCCATATACCTCACAACTAACCATAATTAATCAATTAATTGTATTAATTAACTGAAAACAATGTGAAGAATAAATTTGACAAGTGCAACCGAAGAAGCGTCATGAAATTTGATGAAACACTTGAAAGCAGTCAGACAAACAATCCCTGAGCGTCTCGTGTGTTGAATGATGGTCAAAAAGAAAAAAGAAAGGGAGAAATATCAGTTCATTTTCATAGCGGTTGAATAGGAAAATAACCCCCCATCAACTTGGTTCTAAGTTAACGACCGTAGAGGCAGAAAATTAAGCCAATCACCCAAGACTATAACCACTAGTCTATCCTAGAGGCGCTTTGCCATCCCACGTTTTCACCAGTGTACGTTTTAATTTTCACCATTAGTTTTTTTCTTTTGTTTTACCCATGATGTTTTCTTTTGCCCATCTCTATGAAGCAGCAGGGTTGCGGGTCAGTTCAGACATGGGAAGTGAGCATTACTGCCTGAGGTGGAACAATCATCAGAGCAACTTGCTGGGTGTATTCAGTCAGCTACTTGAGTCTGAATCACTGGTTGACGTGACACTGGCGTGCACAGAGGGTCCATCGATACGTGCGCACAAAGTTGTCCTATCAGCTTGCTCAAGCTATTTTCAAGCTCTATTCCTAGATCATCCAAATCGTCATCCCATTGTCATACTCAAGGACGTAAGATTTACGGAATTACGTACTCTAGTTGACTTCATGTACAAGGGTGAGGTTAATGTCGAGTACTGCCAATTGTCGGCTCTGCTGAAGACCGCTGAGAGTCTCAAGGTAAAGGGTCTTGCGGACATGACGAATATCAATGCAGCAGTTGCATCGAGGGACGAGCAGCAGCAGCACAACACACCTGATACACCGCGTGACAATAGAAATGAGACACGCGAGAGGGACAAAGAGAGGGACAAAGACAGGGATAAGGATATTATCAAGGACAATGAAGTGATGGTGCAGCAGAATACCAATCAGAATCAGAATTCGCAACAGGTGTCGTTGACGGCTTGTGAAAATTCTGAGGCTGTTGATATGACTGAGTGTCCGGTATCACCGGCTAGAGCTAGTAGTCCTTGTACTGGACCACTTGCGCTTGATAGACCGAGAAGAGACTCCGAGGATGCTGTCAGCTTGGAGGAGACCAGGGGATCACTCAGTCCTATTTCTGTGCACAGTGGTCCAAGTGATATGACTCTTAGTAATAACACTAGTACCACTGGTGCATTGCCATTGAATTTACCACAGAGTCGGCTTCCGTCCCCACATAGCACTGAACCACTTGCTGGACCCTCTGGCCTGCCACCGGTTCAACAGGTACCTCTTGTAAGTATTCAATTATTATTTTAACACTACATTTATTAAATTCATTGGCATTTCAACCGGCCAAGTTCATTCTCATTTTATTCAATTGAATGAAATATTTATCATATCGAAGAGCTCGAAATTTTTTCAAATGGAAACTCGTTTCACTCCTTTCATTCACATTCACTCTGTACCATTTTTAATTGCAGAGCTCAATTAAATATCGGTGAAACTATGAAAAAGAAATGTCTTATGGAGTTTGACAAGAAGTTTCAGTTAAAAATTAACATCTGAATATATTTGTACGGATAAAAAATTGATTGAGACATTTTACCCGGTTGACTATAAAATCTGTTGTTTTTAATGGTAATAAAATTTTTTTCCATTGTTTCTTTTGCAGTCCTTGAAGAAGGAAGTGGACTGGGACAGATCGACCGAGGAACGCTGTGCCAGCAGTGAAATATCAACGGATTACAGACTCCCACCAGATCCGGTGAGTCTCTTTTCGGTATGAATTTTTTTTTTCCATAAAACAATTGGTTATTCAAATATTTCTCGTATATCTATATATTATAGCTCTTTCTTATGCATTTCATATCTATATATACATTAATTATTGCCAGCTGACTATAAAAATCTGACACGCATATGCAATAATTTGAATAATTTTACAAAAGAAATGAAAGAAGCGAGGTCGTTAGGTTGCCAATGATAATTTTAATGAGAACAACAATTTCTTCAACACAATGATCAATTGCTGTATTATGTATCGGGTTATATCACTTGTGGAATTATCATTGGTCCATTACCGATTGTTCGAAAGTGTCAAGCAACATCAACTCCTTCCAAGATATTGTCGATACATAATTAAAGCAATTATTTGACGCTGATTAAGTAATTATTATGGCGATTGCATGTGAGTAAACTAGCATGACAATAAAAAGCTTTGCTGTTCGCTGCTCTCCCTCCATTATTCGATCAGCAAAAGCTGAATATTCTTGATTAAAATAAATATTGATAATCAAAAAAATTAGATAAATAAATTACGTCTTACTACGATCACAAGTGGCTGATAAAAAAGGATTTTGATGATTAAAAAAAAAGAGGTCGTTGGCAACCCCTCATCTTGCGGCGTAAAACAAATTTTGAGACATAAATCGTTGGAAAGTGCGTGCATGACATACTATTCTCACTTTTGATAAAGTCTGTTATTTCTCGTGTGCCGTCTCTCATTCCACGCTTTTATTTTCGCGTATCGTCGTATTCAGCCTTATGTCCATATATATGTATCATTTATCCCTCTCGCACACGCATACATATGTGATATCTTTATCTCACTCTCTGTCTTTTATGTATTCGCTCTCTTAATCTTCAGCCCGATACACAGACAGTAAATCAACTAGCCCTTCCCAATACATGAAAATTTATCATTGGGTATTTACTATTAGAAAAGTACCGCCCACGTACCCGCAATCCATCAACCACGACATTTATCCATTTATCCTCTTTTCTCTTGATCTTTATACCAGCGAATCTGTTTAAAAAACTAGTTTGTCATTCTATCGGACGATTCGCAGATGCAGTAATCGTGGAAATAGTTTGTTGGTCATTTATTGAGAATATCTTCTTGTCTTTTAGTCAGGGATAATTTGTTGATGTTAACGAAGAACTTTTCACGAAATTTATTGATAATTAAGTCGTAATTGTATCGATTAATTATCTGAACTCGATGTTTCGTACGTGAGACATTGATTTTGCAAATTCTGTTGGCTAATGCATTTTCAGATCTCATTGTTAAATTAGCTATAATTGTTGATTTTCGTAACAAAGTGATTAAATCAGATGTGTCATTTTCCTTTTCCACTGAAATTATCAATTTCAATTGAAACGACCCGAGGGAAGAGTTCCCCCAAATTTTCATTGCTCATGAGATAATTAATTTTCCCATTAAAAAATCAATTAACAATTACCCCGCGATAAATTTTCATAGAATGAGGCACAATTAGGTCATCCATAAAAATTGCAATTCCTGTTTGAAATTTACGCTTGGAAAAACAAATGGGTGCCAAAAAAAAATTGACAAATCTGATTTCTCCATTTTGTCTGGATGTGAAAAATTTTCTCAGTGTTAATTGAAAAAAATAAAAAATAAAAAATAAACTCCTCCGCCAAAGCCTGTCTTGCTAGCTCACTGTCAAGAAGTTGACCTTCGTTTTTTGGCCATGATTGTTTTTAACATCTCTATATATTATATATACAAATCTACATGTATATATCCGCATATATAACCATATACGATATATCACTGAGGAGAGTAAATTGAAATTCATCCGCCGTCCAATGAAATCGCTGGAATTAATTTCAATTTTACATATCCAATATGTACCAAGTATGATTACTATGTATGTATATATTGACTCGAAGATATCGTGTATAGTGTGCGATATATCGACATTATATATTTTTTCATTTAATTCCATTATTACATCATTTTTTATTTTCATACATTTTATCATTATAATTGTATTTTTCGATTGTTGTTTGGTTGAGTGCAATGCCTTTGCTCCGATATTATTATTGCGCTGCGGCATAAATAAATTTTCATGATAAAAACAAGAATAAAATTTTAAATAATACACAGACCCACGTGAACCGTCACGTGGGGATGAATCTCTGGGGAATTGATGGAAATCATGCTTTCGACATCTACATGTTACCATTATAATTACTATATACACACCCAACATAGTTTTGACAAAAAAAAAAGATAAATTATTAATAAAATTTATATATAACCGTGGGAGGGGCGCGCCAAACAAAAATGAGCGTCAACTTCTTGTGCTGCCGTTGTTTTTTCACGTTTAATAATAAAAAAAATATATGAAAAACCGTGATAAGTGGAAAAACACTTGCCACTGGATAATTGATTCAGAGAAGATTAGATTATTAGCGAAAGAAAGACCGCAATAAGACTGGAGAAAATTAATGAGATTAGACTCTGCAGGTGGCACTGCACTGAGAAAAATAATAACTTTTGCCACCAAAAGTAGACTAGCCACAATAAAATCCACACATTCCAAATGGACAAGTAATTATTGTTGAGAGATAACCGATGATACCGGAAGTTGCGAAATTTACGGAAGTTGCGGAAGTGGCGGAAGTGCCGGAAGTAGATCAGTCGAGTCACGTGCAGAGTCCTAGACCTGAATAATCACTTTGTTGATTTAAAAAAAAGAAAGGAATGAAAAAAAAAAAAATGAGTAAAAGCCTTGGAGCAGTCAATCTGTGACCGTGGAAGGACGTAAAGTTGACGATATCTCAAGTTTGTTGATGAAAAAGAGAGAGAAAAAAAAGTAAAAAAGTAAAAAGTAAAATAAAACAAATGGAATTAGTTGAAAAAGAGAAGTAAAAAGTGAGGGAGCGTGTGAGCGTGCTAAAATAGCGTTAGCCGGAAGACAAGAAGTTGATGTTCTTGTTTGTTTGGTTGCAGGAGTTGATGGGTGTGGATGAGCGGGTGTTTGCGTGCATGTACTGCGGTGCCTCGTTCCTTCACCAGAGCAAGCTGACACGTCACATCCTATCGCACAGCCTCGAGTCCCTCAAGTACCGCGAACAAGCGGCTCACCTGCAGCTGCAGGCCCAATTGGGCCTTGAGCCTGGTATGCACCTGCCACCGGAGGCACACTATCCCCCCGGTGGTCCAGTTGAGCCAATGGACCTAGAGCTGGCTGCCCATTCAGATCCAACATCCGGTGTTGTACTTTGCAAATTCTGTGGTAAATCATTTCCCGATGTTGGCTCATTAATAGCCCATTTACCAGCTCACACTGGTGATAGGCCATTCAAGTGTGAATTTTGTGGTAAAGCATTCAAACTTAGACACCATATGAAGGATCATTGTCGTGTACACACTGGTGAAAGACCATTCAGATGTACATTGTGCGGTAAAACATTCTCAAGATCAACGATACTTAAGGCGCATGAGAAAACCCATTATCCAAAGTACGTTAGAAAATTTTTATCACCGAGTCCTGTTGATCCAACTGAGGAGGAAACACCACAACCACCACCACCACCCCATCATTGAGTTGTGAGTGATGATCATGATACAAGTGTTTATCGATCAACACTATTTGCCAATATCCTGGATAAAGAAAAAAGAAAAGATAAAAAAAAAAAAGTGTCATTTAGTGGGCGCGAGGTGTCACAGCGGTGCCTCCAATTTTATCACCCGTCCTTACCACATCATTCTATTCACCATTGTCATTCTTACAGTTTACCATTATTCATTGTCGATTATCGATTATCCACCGATCGTTTTAGTTGTATCCTCGCGTCCGACTTCGATTCACCGAATAAAACATCAACAGGGGTTGATGCTATCATTGGATTTTACTCTAACAAGCGGATTTCAGTGTAATTATAATTATCGAGAGCTGATAAGACATTGCGGCACCCTCTCCCCCTCCCCTACCCGGGATAGGTATTTATAGTTAGTCCTGTGATTATTTCGGTTAGGATGGGTGGTACACGCGTGTTCAGGGGGAGGGACACGGTAAAACCTGCTCCCTCGTTTAATCAGTGCTTTAAGACAAAAAAAAAAAAATTCATGAAAAAAATAAACAAAAAAAAAATGGTTTAGCTTAATTATACGTATATCGGTAAACTATTGAGAGGTACGATTGGAATGGAGTGAATAGAGTAACGAGAAATGGTTTGAACATGCAGAGAGATTGATTTTTTTAGAGGTATGAGAGATTCAATCAGCCGAGAATATCGCGGTGTTGGTTATCGTCGCGGAGATATAGGCAGGAGTTGAAAAAATTCAGTTGAAAAAATTGAGCCGCCACGGTTGGTGCTTTTAAGAGATTTTGATAAAATGCTGTGAATACTATATATTGATTATGATAACTATAACTATTGTAATAATGTACTAACGTTGTACGATGTACGATGACTGTTGTTGATACGATTGAGAATATTTTATACAGTTGATGGAGGATTTTTGGAAGGATTCGAAAGGGATTGGGGGGTTATTTCGTCGGTTCAAATGTTCACTAGGGGGTGAATGTCGGATTTTTGTTGGTGATTGGGGGGTGTGTGTGCGCTGAACGTATGGCGATGATAAAATGCGAATGGAGTACATGAAAAGAATTTTTTTTTTGTAACACTGGGGGAAAATGCGTACGGGGAGACAACAGAATTGGGCCTGTTAATTTTCGTTTGATAATTATCTTCCATTGTTTTGGGAATTATTGAGAGTGCGCTGGCATAGTGGCTTTTATCCATCTGTTTGTTCAGAGGCCCAACGATTTTACCGAATTTTCACCTTTTTGTTACGATAGATTCTTTTTTTTTTTTGTTTATAATTACAGCCCGAGTCCAGAGACAACTTTAACGGCGGGGTTTAGCCATTGAGACAGTGCAATATACCTAAGCCTCTAAATGCAATTTCATGTTTTTTTTTTATTTAATTAATTTCTACAGTATCTATTTTTAGGTTGTACC